TGGTACCTCTATGAAAGCTCGGGGAAAATAAATGTAAAAGGTGGTGGATGTCAACCTCACACCTAGCCAACTCCGCATACTTTGTCAGCATTAGAAAGATTTTATACAAGTACGGAGACAGCTGTGCCGGGTAGAATTTGTAAAACTGACAAAACTCCTCCGCCAGTGGAAGAAGAGGGAGGGTATGACCTATCACGAAAGGATACATATAAAAAGCACAATATCTAGGTCTGTAGACCTCTACGATGTCCCCCACAGCTGGAACCATCTCGATGTGAGGAGGAATATGGTATGTAGACCGGAGTTCATCTATTTGAGATGGCCCGGTTTCACAGATCACCAGAACGGGAAAAGGAGCAGGTTCCTTATGGAAATCGTTCCTGGACAAAGGGTTTATGAGGAGTATCTCTTCTACAGTAGGGAAACTATCACCCTCCTCAGTCGCGATGTCCTCCCCACCGGAAGGAGGGGCCATTGACAATGGAGTGGCATCGGAAACTTCATCTTGTGCACGAAAGGTTCGGGACATCTCGATAACAGAGGATGTGCTAGTAAACCTGAAGGGAGAGACGGTGACTAAACGGGAAGATGGAAAGCAAAATCACAGAAACGGAGCTAAGAACTGAGAAAGATGATCAAAGGAGAATAATGTACACACAAGGAAGAAAATAGCGAAAATTTCTGAAAAACGAAACCCTCACCTATTTATAGGGCTAGGTGGCACGAGAATCGAAGCAGAGGACTGTCAATGGCGCTAAAACCAAAGCAACAAGCACACCGATGTTGTCTCGAGAAGATGCGTAGTGATGACATGCGTGGCAGTGACGTCATATCTTGATAACCACATTCAATCAGGATTTCGCAGGTTGTGTCGTTCTCTCGACCTCAGTCAACGCAGCGTAATTTAATAGCCAAATTCTCCCACAACGGAAACGAATGATGTATGCTTATTGAGGACGTACAGGGCTACGACCTCAACAAGCGGAGGGACTAACTGTATAAATCCAAATTTGGTAACCACGGTAACGGATAAGCAAGACATTGGATGGGGTCGACCACGACACAGCGACTGACGGTCACCCAAATGAAGGTCGACGACTAGAAGTGGGCAGCTAAGATAGAATAATAATGGTAACCTAAACTTAGAAAGAGACAGAAAGAATATTCCTTTGGATATTCTTTATGTTGTACTTTTTAGGGTTCTTTGGGGAATGTTCCTTATAAATAGGAGAAGATGGTGAACAAACAGGGGATCTGCCTTTTTGAAAACTAAGAGATATTGTAAAGCTAAGAGAAGAATATACGAAAGAGTTGTCTTATTCATTTTATTCAAGCACATGTTGTTCAACCTTTATTCATAAATCTCAAGATCTCATACACACATTGACTGCTTACTTTTCATGTCGTCAGAAAAGAAAGTACCCAATCACACAATCATTAAGGGACAATTCCTTTACACTATAACCCTTGTCATTTCTTGCATTTATTACATAGTTATGAAATTATATATTTTGTCAATCATAGCATATTAAGCTTACTATTTAGTGCTCCTAAACTCTATTCGTTATCCAAGAGTTTTGTTCTATTTGGTCTAGGATTTATTGAATTCAACTGAGATTTACTCCATTAAGTCACTACTAATTGGTTTAGTATTTATTTGCTCAAACAAACAGTAACGTAGGTCTGAAGTTTGTCAACCCTGACTAGATTTTAAAATAGTTTTTCAAAATTAATTATATCTTAAATGGTGCCATCACAAGTGGCTACTGATGTTATTCCTACCAATTTGAAGCCCATTGTTGTTGGGCTTTTTACTGTGCCCTCTGTGGAAATAAATTTCAGTAGAAATGCACCAGATAGCCACTTGTGATAGCACCATTTAAGGCATGGCCAATTTTCAAACACTATTCTAAATTAAGTTGTTTGTAATAAATAAATAAATTGGGACAAAAATCCCGCTAAATTTAACACGAGAAACTTCATATCATTTGGGTCTTAAGTTAAGCTCTGCCAAAGGCTACTTTAGACACAAAAAGCTAAAGTTCAAAGCACTAAACTTAAAACCACAACTTCGGATCTTCGGGAGGAAGTTGGACTCAGCTAGAGGTAAACTTCAGACCTTTTGAACTTAATATATGAAGTTATGGTGAATTTGGAAGGTAAATTTATTTAAGGATATAAGCCTGGAGAACACCCTACATGTGGTTGGAATGCTTGTTGGTATACATAATAGATAATATAGTATTATCCATAGTTGTATATCTTCTTTTTTTTGGTTTCTCACTCAGTATTCGGTACCCGCATTGGAGCCCGACTATATCTGGATTCGCGCCGCGTAGGGCCCATTCGGGGGGAAACGCTCCCTACCAAAGATTTTTTCATATCCAGGGCTCGAACCCGAGACCTCTGGGGAAGGGAAGAGTAGTCTCATCCATTGCACCACATCCTTTGGTGGTTACAGAATCTCAACCTGTACGGTTACAGAATTTGTGTTATGGGTCTAATTTAAAGCATATTTGAAAGTAGCAATATTAATAACTATATAAAAATCATATTTTGTTTCAAACTTTTATTAGAAGTATTCCACTCAAAATACCATATCAAATGTATATAACGGTATTAGTGTTGTTAAATTTACAGGGTCTTACTAACATAGTCACAAATTTTTATAATTTCATGAATAATCCTAATTCCTTAAAGCTCATATGTATTACTATGACTCATCCTAATATCAAAGTACGGGATGTAACAGTAGAAGTATTCAACTGCATATAAAATGAAGTTACGGTTACAGAATTTGTGTTATGGGAGCAATCCTGAAAGACTTCTTGATGTGTATCTACAACTTTGAAGTTTATTAAACTGCATCCAGTCAGTTTCGTAGACAGCAAACTTCAACCTTTTGGGTTTCGGCTAGGCAAATTTTTATCCAAATATTACTTATACAAATGTAACTAAACTTTAAATAGTTTTTTAGAACTACCTATGCTTTAAATGATGTGCCCTGAAATCGGCTATTTGTGCACTTCCTACTAAATTTCACGAACATGTAAAATAAAATAAAAATGATATGACATTAATTTATTAATGTTCTATCCAGGATATGCAGCAAGACAACAATAACTACTAAATCTCTGTTCCAAATTAGTTAGAACGGGTAACATGAATCCTCAATATCCATTTTGTTCATTTATGCCAGCTTCATTTACTATACAATAGTTTGTCTTTTAAAATGATTAAGAATTTTGGTCAAGCTTAAGATGAATTATCTAATAACATACTAATATGCTTCTCTATATGTCATGGAAGCGTTTAGAACCTAAGGTCCGTATTGGCTACTGCTTAAGGTTTCGGTTCACACTTTTGTTCAATCCTTGAATGAGTCACTTGAGCAGATTCTCGTTGATTCGATATATATAGGAAAAATGACATTGTATAGACGCTCTTAAAATAATAGCCAAAAAAAATATACTTTTTGTATATATATACATTCTGTATGTCATACAAAAATTATACAAATTTTTAAATACATTTTTGGCTACCAAATGTAAATAGTTTTTGGCGCAGGCTAAAAGTGAAATAAGCGATACGCAGGAACTGTTAAATTTTCGATCAAGATCTTCTTGTCCCTCCCTTCTAGAGCCACTCTCTAAGTAGTACTTATAATTTACTCCAAGAAGATAGCGTTTGCTATCTTTTTTCTTTTCGTTTAATCCTTAAATTAAATCCTATAATGGAACCTATGTAGCTAAATAACACAATTTGATCATTGGTAAGTTTTGTTTCAGGAATATAATATGACAAAGAGATGTCTAGGCACAACTTTGAACTTCAATAATGGTAAAAACTTTTACCGTAAATCACCAACAAAATGTGAGAAAACTCTCAAAGGAAATGACACCAAATTCCATGAATTTGGCATATAAGACTTCAACTTCTTTCCATGGGGACATACAACAACCAACCCACATCAAGGAACTGTGGAAGTTGACCCAAATAAGGATTTAGCTTTACTATATCACCAACTTTAGAAGAAAAAGTTTTTGCAATAACTGGTAAAGTATCATATTCTTGTACTGTATATGTAACTACAGGCTGAGAATCAGCCTTTTCTCCACATCCACACAAGAGATGAATGGTTACTTCTTCTCCAACTATATAACTTCTCTCTTCTCCTCCAACCTTCCAAGCTTCCCCAGTATAAATTTGTTTCGAAATATTAGCAAATGTGTCACCAGGCTGCAACTTGTAAACTGTATTATAGAAGTATCCAATAGTACCATTAACATCTTGTCAATAACAAGGTACTGTGACTAGGTAGTCTTGTTTCCCTCCTGCGCGACTAATTGGCATGATCTGTGATTTATTGACAGAGTAGAATATCGTGATTTGGTCTTCGTTGAGACCATTGTGCTGGTAAAGTAGAGAGCTACAGCTCTTGATTTGATCCGAGCAAGGGAAGGGTAAATTTGAGACAACTGAGTTGGGGCGCAAAGCGCAAAATTTCTTAACGATGTAAAGAATTGAGGAAAGAGTAAAACTAGTAATGCGTACCGAGAAAACATAGCTATTGCTTTGATGTCTTTCTTGTGAGATATTGAAGAATAAGAAGTTATATCTCTCTCTATATATAGCTAGGGATTAGGAAAAGGGGTGTGCATAATTTTTACAATGCAATATAAGTACCTAGTTATTGTACAATTCTTTGGCTGCATTATGCAGGCTACATATATAAAACCTATATACATCAAAATTAACGCAACCAGGCCACATAGCAAAAGTCATATGACCTGCTCTCCTACTCCTAGCAACTAGAAAAAAGAGAAGAGAAAGAAATGTTGTTAGATAGGTTAGAAAGGACCCCCTTATTTTGAGGGGTGAGATTATTAGTCCAACCAAAATTAAATAACTACCTAAAAACTTAACAATGGTAGCCTCAAGTTCTTCCCTCTCAACAGTTTATAGGCTTATAAATGCCAAATATTTGTTATCAACAACCATCATGCTTTAGAAAAATGGCAGCGAAGGCAAGAATTTTTGCAGGTCTTTTTCTTATTTGCACGATTCTCCCTTCTCTGTCCTCAGCATTTGCAGATCATCTTCCTGAAGTTCTCCTAGCGAACAATTCTGATAAAAATATTGATGTGCCAATCCATGTTAATAATGTTGCTCATGTCAGCGACGACGATGACACAATTTTTGAACTAGATGGTAAAAAGGGGAAAAAACTGAAAAGGGCATTGAAGAAAAGGGCACAAAAACAGCATGATCTGTGGGAAAAAATTCTTGATCATGACATCATTGAAGAAAGCCAACCTGAAGAAGATGCTGCACCTGTAACTCCAACACCTGTGCCTGTCAATCCAACCCCAACACCCGTACCTGTTGATCCAACACCTAATCCTGTGCCTATTAATCCAACGCCTAATCCCGTGACCGTTAATCCAACACCTACGAATGTGCCTGCAGGATATCCAGGAGCAACTCTACCACCTGTGACAATAGGATATGGGGGTGCACCTCAAACACCTAATCCATCAGCCACACAAACACCTGTGCCTGTACAGCCAGCTCCAGGGCAAAAACATCCAACACCAGAAGAAATTAAAGAGCTACGTAAACATGCTAGATTGAAAGTGGGATTTTACGATGAAATTTGCCCAAAAGCTGAGAAGATTATTAAGGATGGCATGATCAGGGCTTTTGGGAATGATTCCAGCATTGCTGCTGCGATTCCCCGCCTTCTATTGCATGATTGCTTTGTCAATGTAAGACTTCAATCCTTACCTCAATATGTAGATTCTATGATGATGTTCTCAGGATATTCAGTAAGAAACATATTTTCGAATCTTTTGGATTGCATTTGATATGTAGCTGCTCATTTAATGAATTCAAAATGACTGAATCGATCTTTATTTTGGTGGTTAAGATCCTTTGGGCCAGTTTCATTATGTGGAAATTTGGGGAGAATATGTACTTGATCAGCTGATCCTACACTTCCCACGTTTTGCAAAGGGGTTTCAATTGAATTACCATCATCGAAAATCAAAACAAATTGTTCTTTTATACATATGAATTGTTAAATCCTCTTGACATAAGGAAAACTTCTAATAAAGTGGAAAGATGGTTTGAGAATTGCATTAGGCCACAGGTTGGAATCCAGGGTGTGGCAGTCTCGCATTTTCTTAATCCTCTTAGTAGAATTTTTGGCTCCACAACTGGCAATGACAGCAAATTTTACTATTCTTGCAAAACTTAAAGGAAAACAGAACAAGCCCAAACTAACTTCTACACATTTGCAAATTTTACTCTATTAACCAAACATTTCAACTTTCCTTTTCGTCCACTTTCTTTCGCAGGAAACAGGCTTTCCTGTGCTTTCTTGATAACCAAAAATAACATTAAAGTCTAATGAAAATTCATTTATCTAATGCATAGGGATGTGATGCATCACTATTGCTAGACCAGACACCAAGTGGGGCAAGGGTAGAGAAGCTCGCCAACTCCAATGGACCAACAGTTAGGGGATTTGATCTCATTGACCAGATCAAGGCTGAGCTTGAGGCAGAATGCCCCCGCGTAGTCTCGTGCACAGATCTTTTGGTATATTTATCAAGGGATGCCTTTGTTGTATCCGGTGTCCCTCACTATGACGTGCCTGGTGGACGTCGTGATGGAATGGAATCCCTTGAAGCAAATGTTCATGGCAACCTCCCACTTCCTGATAATACAGTGGATACGTTGATTGACCTCTTCAAAAGGAAAGGCCTGAATGAAGAGGATTTGGCAGTTTTAATTGGTGCCCACTCCATTGGAGTAGCACACTGTTTCAGCTTCCTTTACCGATTGGATAATCCTCAGAAGGCGGCCATGGTAGATCCAAGGCTCGCTGGAGTTATGAGATTCACATGTACCAACCAAATGAATACTTTGGCTTTTGATACCACCACACAGTACAAGATGGATTCTATTTACTACAAGCAGCTGGCTGAAAAAAGAGGACTACTTGAATCAGATGTGCTTTTGAGTGAAGATCCCAGAACAAAGGACTATATCCAAAAGTTTGGTGATGACCAATCGGGATGGTTCAACAAGTTGGGCAAGGCCATGAACAAGTTGGCTTCAATGCAAGTGCTCACTGGTGACCAGGGGCAGATCAGGAAACAGTGCAGGGCTGTTAACTGAAAAGCTGGATATAAGGCTCTAACATGCATCAAAACAGAACTGGTTCCTCTCTTTTTTGTTTTAACCAACTTTTACTTAGTAGCTCATAGGACCAATATAACAAACACACAAATGGTGCATGATAGATGAGACTTGCTCATCTACAACAAATTAAACGTGCAAAGCAAGTCCTTGTCTAAAATGAGATCACAATTTTGTACTTCCAAGTTCTACTTAAGATAGCTAATGTAATTGCTTCAACAGACAATGCACGGAAAAAATTATCTTGTACAACTGCTTGCTTGTTTTGATGTGTTCTATAAGCAAATTGGGAAAGAAAATGAAAAAAACCTCCCATGTTTGAAGAATTAATAGGTAATCAGCTATGATTTTTTTTTGCATCAGCTCTGGTGCAGCTACAGCACTGTATTATCTCCCAATTCACGGATGACTTCCTCAACTTTGACCAGCATATCTATCAATATCAGCAATTCAGCAAATTAGTACTCTAAACCAGTCAAATCAGCATCTGCATGTAGCTGCTTTTTTTAACAGTGAGTGATTTTTTTACAACTCGTAGATATTACTTAGCAACGCTTTATTTTACCATGGTTTGAATAGTAATCAACTTCAAGAACAGTGACTTTAAGGCTTTTCCATCCATTAAAAGGAAAAAGTAAATAAATTTTAAAAACAAAAAGGGGCATTAGGAATATGAAGTAATGTGCATGCTCCATCGACCAAAACCTGGAAAAGGGGCATTAGTATTTAAAGACATACCTTGGAATGAAGAATCTTCTAGATATTTCTGCAAAAGAATAAGCAGGTGGATCATACAAATGGAACAAAATTATGAGCCGTCCAGCTAAAAAATTTCAGCGAAGCAGAATGTTAGTTGATCTCTATAAAAGATATAGACAGAAACAATACCGCAATTTGGTCTTTAAGGTCAACCTCCTTCGTCGTACTTGACTGTGCAGCAACTGCATTCAGTTAACAATTATTTTCGGTGTTTAGTTTTGAATCAAAAAGTGGGGAACTTCATGAAAAGTCGACTGATGAGAACCACCTTGATCAGCTTCAGGGCCGCAGTTCATCAAGAAGGACGTGAAACTGGGAGGAAAAGCTGAAAGAATCTCCTCAGCTTCGCGATTTAGTCTCATTTCCTCTGTATGTGAACCTTGAGAAAATCCAGGCGCCCAGGTCACTGGCATATGATGGGAACTAGAGTCACCTGAAGCTGTATATATCCATCCTTCATTGTCCCTGATATATTGGGAAAAATTGTATTTAAATATAAAGGTGACGTATCGAGACACGTAGACTGGTCAAATGGTCAAAGAATTACAACTAGCCAAGATGCACGAGTTGCAACAGATACGAGCAAATGGCAGAGGAAGAGGCACGGGCAGTTATTCAAATAACTCAGCACCCGTACCTATCTAAGTCATTTATGTCCGAGAATCAAAGGAATGAATCTGACAATAGAAAAAAGTGCAGATACGGCATTTAATAGGCATTAAATGTGGAATACGTTAGAGAATTTGTATTGAATGTAATGATTATGTAACGTAGCATTCAATGTCTTTAATTACTCATAATAGCCTCATTATGATTTGGGCAAAACATATATCTCCAAGATATCTATAAAAGGGAGATATCTGATCAATTGTAAGGACACGAAACACTATTGGAATAAACTTTGGTTTACTTATTTTTCTCTTGATTACTCTCTTGCTACCTAAATTACTTCCTTTTATACATTCTTTTGATTATCAGTAACCCGTGTTCTTCTAAATTCTAGCTTTGACTAAAATTTTATTTTTTGGTTAAACAAATTGGTTCCGTTACCGGGAAGCTGATAATCTATTTTCTTTTCACTTAACTTTCCTTGTTGCATCAATTATGTCGAACAACAATGACAACACTCAAGGAAACCAAGAGAACCAACAAAATCAGGGAGATCCACAGAACATTAACACTCAAGTTCCTACTCCACGAGACTCTCCACGGCAATCTTATGAGGGTACTCCTGATGGGTCTCAAATAAACGAGCATGCTCAATTTGAAAATGTTGAAGCTGTTGATGAAGCTTTGCAGAAATTAATTGCTGCTCAGGTCAACAAAGCTGTTGAGGCACTTGTTAACCAGTTACATGTTGCAACACCCACACCTACTCCAAATAATAACACTTTGGAAAACCATTGTTCTGGGCTTGTTAACTCAGGCAGCGGTGGAACTCCCAGTGAATCACACGAGAGAGAATCAGGTAATGTAATTAATTCTGATTTACAAAATTTACTACTAACCTTGCAGAAACAGCTCAAGGAGCAAAGTGAGCGCATGGAGCAGATACTCGGGGTGCCGCCCATAATCAAAGGGGTAGATATGGATAGATATTCGCAACAACCCTGGAAGCCAAGTGCTGCTCCACTCCCAATTCCAAAAAAGTTCAAAATGCCTGATATTCCAAAATATGATGGAACAACAGACCCACGAGATCACGTGACTGCATTCACAACGGGCGTAAAAGGCAACGATTTGACTAAGCAGGAGATTGAATCAGTATTAGTCAAAAAATTTGGTAAAACGCTCACCAAAGGAGCGCTAACATGGTATTCTCTTTTACCCGAAAATTCTATAAATTCTTTTGCTGAGCTTGCAGATTCTTTCATCAAAGCACACTCGGGAGCTCAAAAAGTAGAGAAAAGAATGGAGGATATTTTCAAAATCAAGCAAGGTGACTCAGAACTGCTTAGAGAATTCGTGGACAAATTTCAACGTGAAAGAATGACATTGCCACGTGTACCTGACAAATGGGCAGCTATAGCTTTCACAAGTAATTTGAATGAAAAAAGCTCGGAAGCTACGAAGACACTCAAGGAAAGCCTTCGAGAATTCCCAGCTACAACGTGGAATGATGTTTATAACAGGTATAACACGAAGCTGAGGATTGAGGAAGATACTGTTCCACGATTTCAAAAAGAAGAAAAGGTAAGTTCGAGACGTGCGGAGACCGAAAAAAGATCCGGTAAAAACAGGTGCGAGCACATAGGACCTGCGGGAAAGGACTCACGGTCAAAGCAGGATAATCAAAGGTACGATCATAGATCAAGAAACAGAGAATCAGGTTCTTCATCAAGATTCAGGAACGAGCGAAACAACTATGAGTCACGAGATGATGATAGAAATTTAAAAGCAAGATTCGGTGGTTATAACTTCAACGTCAGCACCTCCGAGCTCGCAGCTGTTTTGAGAAGCATGGAAGATAATGTTCGATGGCCAAAGGAAATGAGATCGAATCCAAACAGGCGCAACCCTGACCATTGGTGCGAGTTTCATAATGACCACGGACATAAAACAGCAGATTGCAGATTTTTACAAAGTGAAGTTGATCATTTATTAAAACAAGGATATCTTACTGAGTTGTTCAGTGAGAAAGGCAAGCAAGCTTACATGAAGAACAGGAAAGAACCTCCAAAACCACCTTCTCCCAAAAGAACTGTCAACATTATAAGTGGGGGTGAAGACGTCAATGGTATATCACATATTACAGCTAACAAAATTTCCAAAGTAACAATTACCCAAGGGAAACGGGTGCGGCATGTTTTAGAGGAAGACAACATTACATTCAATAACGCAGATGCAGATGGCGTATTAACCCCTCATAACGACGCACTGGTAATATCTTTAATTGTACATGATACTAATGTGAAACGAGTTTTGATTGATCCAGGTAGTTCCGTGAACATTATTTTGCTAAGAGTATTACGTGAGATGCAAGCTGAAGATAAAGTGATACCAAAGGCGCATACTCTATCTGGATTTGATAATTCTAGTGTCCTCACGAAAGGAGAGGTAACACTAACCACATTCGCTGAAGGAGTCGTCAAAGATACAAAGTTCCAGGTGGTAGATATGGAGATGGCTTACAACATGATTCTTGGGAGACCATGGATCCACGAAATGGATGTTGTTCCTTCAACCTTGCATCAAGTTATTAAATTTCCATCGCCATGGGGAATCTGTCAAATTCGTGGAGATCAACATACAGCCAGGGCTATCAACTCTGTTGCGGATACAAGCACGAGAAATGAAGGTAAATAGCAATCACAGAAGGCAGTTGAGGACACCACAACACAAACCTCAACTGAATAAGGGCAAACAGATATAGATTCAAGGCCTGATACCATTCAAGAGCCAGAAGAGAATGAAAATATCAAAACAACAATAGAGGAATTAGAGTCTATCGTGTTATTTGCTCAATGGCTTGATAAAAAAGTCTATGTTGGAGCCAATCTTAGCCAAGGTATGAGAGGTAAGTTAATTGAATTTTTGAAAACTAACGTGGACTGCTTTGCTTGGTCCAACTCTGACATGACAGGAATACTACCGAAGGTGATGACTCATAAACTAAATGAAGATCCATCATACCCTCCTGTCAAGCAAAAGAAAAGAAAGCAAGGAACTTTCAAGAATCAGGTGATTCAAGAAGAAGTCCAAAAATTGCTAAAAATTGGTTCCATTCGTGAGGTAAAGTATCCTAACT